GTTTCTTGAGGTTATAGCCTTCTCTATGTTTGAATGAGAATGGTCAGTCACAAGGTAGCACCAGTCACTATGGGTAATCTGACATTACCTGTGAAGTAAGAAACACTGAATTTAAACAGTCTGGTAGATAATCTCAAGCTGGTCTGTTTTAGAGAATACTTCCAATCCAGTAAAAGTGACAGTATCACTCTAAACAAGTACACACTGCATGTTGACTATAATACAAGTTGCACTCTTTGTATTTTACATAGTGCCCAATCTCTCTATTTAGTTCTCTATGCAAGGAAAACATGGACAAATGAAGATTGTAAATGTAGTGTGGCATCTGGTAAGTCTAAGACCAAGTAGGAAGGGGACTGTATAGGACTGCCAAACCATTACTAGCCGCAGCAACCCTACTCCAACCCTGGTTGAAGCTACCCAAGAAAGGAGGTGCTGTTGGTGAATGACATTCACCAACAATAGCTATCACACTTACATGTGAGATGTAGGACACCTATGTGAAACATGTGAACCATGGGGCAATGATAAGATTCTCCACGTTAAGACATATACTGCCTGGGCAACCTGAGTTCAGCCAGAACTGAAGATTGAGCTGTAAGCAACTACTGATTTCTCTCCCACCCTGCTCACATACTAGTCAAAGTCCCTGAGCATGCCCACCACATTGAACCCATTGCATCAGAAACATCTGGGTTATGTAATGGTGGAGAGATCTTGAAGTAAGGCTTCAGGCAATAACTATGGGTCAATGCAAGTAAGTGATGAAAAATGGGTCACTCTTGACATTTGAAGGTGCAGCGAAAGATATGGATCAATTCAGGCCAGATACTACTTGGAACAGCTGTCCTAGAGACTAGGCTGTGCAATGCCTGATATTGTAGGTAGATGGTTTGGCCCAAGATTACATCAAGCAATTGAGCAGTATCCGATTTTGGAAACTATATACTCATTTCCAAAGACTTGACCAAGTGAAAAAATTGAAGTTATATGGGAGAGTTATCCAATGTAGGCCAGCCCAGCCCCAAAAGTTGTATGTGGGAAAGGAAGTGACAGTACTCCAACACATCTGAGATTGCAAGTTGACGATTGTGCAAACAATCTAGACCCAACTCAGTGCAGCATCAGAAACTGAGTGACTTGTTGGCTGATTTAATGATGTATTTGTGGGACAAGACGACTAAGAGGACCAAACAACATCCACAAAGCATTATATAAAGGTGACACGTTCGATTAACTCTTTCAGCGTGGACTCGTTCCCTGGGACCAACCTCATAACCATTTTGTGCTTGTTATAGTTTTCACGCTATAACTTTCAAATTAGTAAGCGTATGATAACAAAATTCGGCAGATTATCAGTAAATATTACAGTGCTTTTATATGCAAAATATTAAATTTTTTATTAAGTCTTAAGGTTTTTTCTCATTCCTTTTTTCTTTTCACATGTTGCCTATCCAACATGCAAAGTAATTTTCATTTTAAGATTAAAAATACTCTTGTTCATCAGAAAATTTTCAAATTTCATATGAAAAATCTTTATAATGTCCAGATAGTTATCAAATATTTCTTAATAAAAACTTATTTTCAGTAAGGAATCTTTGTATCTTTGGTCGATCTCTTAACCATGTTAAAAAATTAGGAAATAAATATAAATTATGCCTTTATAATTTGTAGAATGACTACAAATTATAACACAAAAT